CAGGGGCAGGAGGCGAGGACCTGCTCCAGTGTCGGCGCCGCTGCCTCCCCCGGGCCCCCTGGTGTCACCCCTGCCAGGGCATATGGATCAGTGCCCCAGGGACACAGGCAGCCTGCCCCTTTCCCCCCTTCCCCTCCCCTTTGTCCCCCCACCACACAATTTGGGGATGCTCAGTCGGCCTGGTCAGCCATGGTAGGGACCCCTCCTGCAGCAAGGGATGCCCCAGCACCTCCAGCCTGCCCCAGGGTCCCTTGGGTGTCCCCACTGCTCACCTTGGCTGAGGGTGTTGGAGCTGGTGGTGGGGCTGGTGGCCGTGGGGTCAGGGTGCCGGCACGCCATCAGCTCGGGGTCACCCACGTCAGACCTGCTGGGGATAGGGGAAGCCAGGCTGAACACTGGTGAGGGACAGGAGCAGTGCTGGGGGATATGGAGCCACTGTCCCCATTACCAGGCTTGGGGACACCCACTGGGCACTCACCCCCTGTGCGCACACTCCCGGATCTCGGCCGTCCAGGAGCTGAGCTGCTGCTCATCCCCTGCCTCAAACACCACATCGGTGGCATTAGTGACCTGGGGGACATTGAAAAGAGACAAGGGGGCTTCAGAGAGAGAAAGAGACACGTGCATCCCCTCACATCCACCTGCACTTGGGGACTGGCCCTGACCTCAGCCAGGGTGGTGCACTCCCCCCCATGTTTCCCCCCCCCCCAGTTGCTACATGCCCTCTTTGGGGAAGAGGAACTGAAATTTGGCAGAGGAGCTCTGGGCAGGTACATGCCTCCTGGAGGGTGGGAAAAGCCTTGGGACAGGCTGTGGGACATCCCTTCCTTGGCCAGGTCCTACCTTGAGGACGAAGGTGTGGAGGTTATCCGGCATCTCGAGGCGTGTGCAGCTCCGCACCTCCCGGATGGCAGAGCAGGCAGCCAGCAGCTTTGGCTTGGAGCCCTGAGGAGGGGGAGGCAGGTGCTGAGCTGGGCCATGACACCCCTGCACCCCAAACCTCCCACTACTCCACCAGGAGCCACCCCAGGCACAGCAGCCAGCAAGGAAATACCCAGCTCTGCAGGGAAAGACTCCACCGGCAAGGAAATACCCCATGTGGCAAGGAAATACCCCATGTGGCAAGGAAATACCCCATGTGGCAAGGAAATACCCCATGTGGCAAGGAAATACCCCATGTGGCAAGGAAATACCCCATGTGGCAAGGAAATACCCCATGTGGCAAGTCCTCAACACAAGGAGGACATGGAGCTGTTCTTCACCCATGAAGGCTGGGTGGGTGTCACTTCCCCCATTATCAGTTGGCACAGATGCCCAGTTTCAATCAACCAAACCAGTCTGGGATTCTGTGGTTCTACAAAATACCCCAGGGGGCAAGAAAATAACCCTGCACAGCACTGCCCGGTGTGCTGTGCCCACCTGGAGGGGCCAAGCTGGGGACCCAACTTGGGTGGCAGTAAGAACTGGGTGGAGGGGAGGAGGGAGCAGGGGGATCCCAGCACGGTGGGGTGTGCACTGATGAGGAAGCTGGGGTGCAGGGAGCACCCCGGTGCTGGGTGCGGTGACTTGCCCAGCGCTCCCCGCGGCCGCCCGCCCGGCCTGGCGCTGACACAAGCACATGACAAAACGCTGAGCCAGCACTTCCAGCGAGGCTAAGAATAATAACATCCCTCCCGGCAGCTTTCGGTTCCTCTGCCGCTCTATGCGCCGGCGAACAAGCCCCTGACCACCGGCAGGCTGTGGCAGACATCACCCACCCCGCCACCCCC